TTAAATGGTCAATGCCGTATTTCCCAGTACACTTTAAGCTATTGCTTAGGGCGGCAAATTATTTTAGTTTCTGAGTGGAGCGAAGAAGCTTATAGTTTTACAAGGATGTTTATTTTTTAAAATTACATTTTTATTATGTTACTAGAACTGAAAGCAATGCAACTAATTATAAAATGTTTTTAGACCAACGAGATTGTGGTAATAATACTATTATTAATATTTATATTATTCTAAATTTTTTTTAGGAAATAATTCCTCGCCAAGTAAATAAATTATTGAAACAAAATACGTTTACTAAAATTCAATATACTTAGCATTAATTCATGATATCACATCTTAAAAGTGCTTAGAGATCTAATATTTTTTTTTTTACTTTGCCATTTTTACACGAATTTTACGAAGGGTTTTTGTTGTGATTATACATTGTTCAACATAGTTTTTTTCGTATTTTTATTCCAGCCTGTTTCATCAGCTCAACGCATGATGATTGTTAATTCTTACAAGGCGAAATTAAGGAAAAATCCGAAATTAACAGTTCGAGAATCTCGTATATGAACTCCGGGCTAAGTGCAAGCGTCTTTCTAAATTAAACTATCAACAATTTATCAGCCAAACCGAATCATTCCTATCCGAATCACCCAGGTCCTTTTGGAAATATATTAACGACTTAAATCAAAAGCCAGCCATTCCCTCATCAGTAAAACTTGAACATGAAACTTCTTCTAACCCAATCGAATCAGCAAACTTATTCTCTAAACACTTTTCATTCGTCTTTAGTCAAACATTAACTCCTAACCTCCAGACAATACATCCTAATTTACCATATGATCTGACATCTTACTCTACATTTACTCCCACTGATGTGCTTAACCTACTTGAAAACCTAAAAAACAATCGTTCCAATGGTCCAGATGGTATTTCTGCACGCTTCCTATACAACTGCCGTTATTCCCTGACTTTACCACTTTACCACCTGTACCGATATGCTTTCGACAGTGGTTTATTCCCTGTTGTCTCGAAAATTTGTTCTATAACTCCGATTTTAAAATCTGGTGACCCAAGTATTGTCCTAATTACCGTTCGATATCTATCATACCTCATCTTGGCAAAATCTTCGAACTTACTGTACTAAATAATATTAAAAGATCTTTTAATGATGTGTTATTCAACGAACAACACGGTTTCTATCCTGGTAAGTCTACCGTAACTAGAAGTGTAATTTTTACAACTTACATTAGCGATTGTCTTGAAGCAGGTTGATATTATTACTACCGATCTTAATAAAGCCAACTGTCAACCATGATTTATTAATTGGCAAACTGGAGTGCTTAGGCGTCGGTTACCCACTTTATCCTGGTTTAGGTCTTATTTAACTGGTAGAAAACAATGTTTCTATTGCAAGATCCTCTTCAGAAATGTATGCTGTTACATCTGGTGTTCCTCAAGGTGGCCACCTAAGTCCTTTATTATTCTCTCTCTTTCTAAATTCATTACCACTGTGGCTTACTCAAGTAAAATTTTTACTTTATGCTGATGATATAAAAATATTTTATAAGATTCCTTGATGATAATTTCCTGCTTCAGGGCGAACTAAACATATTCACCGAATAGGTTTCACACCTTGGACTATCTCTAAATAATGCGAAATGTCATGTAACTTTTTTCTCTAAAGCGCGTTCTCCCATTCTATCTAATTATTTTCTCCATGACTCCAAATTAGAACGCGTCTAAAGCATTAAAGATTTAGGATTTAATTATTCAATTGATCTCAGTTTTAGCCCTCACGTCAATATTGTAGTTAACAAAGCTTTAAAAACACTCAGGTTTATCATCCGTAATACAAAATTATTCAAATCTCCCAGGTGCCTGCGCACTTTGTATTTTGCCTTAGTTCGCTCACTATCAGAATACGGATCAGTACTATGGAAACCTTTTCTAGCTAAAGATTAGATTCATCTTGAGCGTGTACAAAACAAATTTTTAAATTATGCATCGTTTCAATTTAGTATTCATTATATTCCCCACGACTAAACCAATATTAGGCAGGTTATGAATATTCAAACATTATCTTCTCGCCGTGATAATGCGGATTTAGAATTCCTATCTCCCCTATTAAGTGGCTCACTTGATGTGCCTGATTTCCTTTCATCCATACCTTTCAGAATCCCGAGCCATTCATCTAGAACCCAGTCTCAATTCTATATACCAGCTCATAAAACTTCATACGGACATAACCACATATTACATCGAATGCTAAAAGCTGCGAATTCAGTTTAGGTACCTAAACCACTTTCTTGATTTTTTTTTTTCATAAAATTATATATTTTTCGTATTATAGTATTTTTATTTTTATTTTTAGTTGTTTGTACTTACCAATAGTTATTTTTTGATATGTTATTTCTAGTTTTACCTTAATTAATTTTCGTACCAAACCATTTTGTATCCATGCTATAATGCCATTTGGCGTAAATAAAATAACAATAATAATAATAATACATTTTTTTTTCTATAATTTTGTAAATCTAATAACTTTGACAATCGTGTTTTACCGTACAGTCAAAACCGTATAATGTGTAATGTGTAATGAGCCACTGATCCGGTTTTTTTCCGTACGGTCAAAATCGTGTAGTGTGAAACGAGCCTTATTTGGTACAGATTAAAGTACCTGTATAACCGTTATACTATAACGTATATAAATATATTATTTTTGACTAGTAACAATAAATATTAATAGAATAACAAAATGTAAAACTGCGAAACTTGGAGCTCGTTCGGCTGCGACTGGAACACTGATGATTAGTCGGCAGAGTCTTGCCTTTTTAAGTGCAGCGTCGCTCGGTTTTCGTGTGACGGCGGCCGATTCGTGCGGCGACAGCCTTTTCGGGGTGACGGTGGGGACTCGTGACGTTGCTAGCGCTGCTACGGTATTCTTGTTTGTTAGGTGGTATCTTTAGGGTTATACGGCGAGTGTTACATGTGTTACCTAATATATAACTAGGTAACTATAAAACTTTATAACTATAAATATGTAAATATGTTACAAACTTCATGAATCGAACGGAAATATTTTTTGAAAATATGGGCAGAATTAAATATGTAATAGAAAATTTTAAAATAGTAATTTATTCAAACATAACGTCCTACGACAATAATATGTCATATACTACGGGTTTAGCGCACTCGGGAAATCCTAAGGCAGAAGATTCCAGTGGGATTAAACCGAACTACTCCCGGTATAAGGAGCAATTCTTTACGCTAGTAAAGTAAAGGCCACTTTCTTGCCCTTAGAGTAAGAAATTACTCTTAAAGGCGGACGAACGAGTCAATTTTCTCGTCAACGGCATAGAATGCGGAAAGCAAGAAGAAACTATCTCATTAAAGATCTAAATAGATATCCTGAGTAACAGCAATTTAAAGTATGAATGCTTCGACACAAATAGATTAAATACTGGTAAGAGGAAGATACAAAAATCAAGTTAAATACAGTAAAAGCTACCCAGGAGCCGACATTAATAGCGATCATAACCTGGTCCTAATGCATCGTGAACTTAATTTTAAGAAGCTACAAAAGAAAAAAGGTATGAAACGCTTTCAACTGACAAACCTGAAAGTGGAACAAATCGAAAATTCATACAAAGAAAAGACAGATAGAGCGATAATGGAAACTTATGACGCACAATGTAATTTAAGCATTGAAGAGAAATGGGGAAACATCAAACGATGCATATTAAACAAAGCGGATGAAGTTTTAGGGAAAAAAAAGAAACTAAAAGAAAGGAATGGATAAACGAAGAAATCCTGGAAATGATTAATGAAAGGAGGAAATATAAAAATGCTACAGACCAAAGAGGGAAGGAAAAATACAGGAAATTAAAAAATGCAATAAATAGAGAATGCAAGAAAAGCAAGGAAGTATTTCTGAATAACATTTGCCAGGATATTAATGAAGCGTTAAAAGTGGGATTAATGGATAAGGCGTATGGGATTGTTAGAAGATTTTTTAAGGAAAGAAAAGTTAAAATGGCGAGTATTAAAGAAGCAAATGGCAATATTATGAAGAAGCAGAAGTAACAAAATGTTGGAAAAAGTAACTAGAACAACTGTATCGCGAAGAAAATATGACAATAGACGCAGAGATATTTGAAGACCATCAGAATGATACGGAAGAAGTAGACCAAAGTATAATGAGAGAAGAGTTTGATAAGGCATTAATGGAGCTGAAGAACAAAAAAACACCCGGAGTTGATGAAATTCCTGCGGAACTTATACAAAATTGTGGATATAACACTAAAAAGATCATTTATGAAATGATTAAAAAATGCTACGAAACTGGACAAGTGCCAAGTGATTTTACAAAGTGTATAATTGTACCAATTCCAAAGAAAACAACGGCAAAAACATGTGAACAACATAGAACACTAAATTTAATATCACATGCGTCAAAAATCCTTACCCGAATTGTGTTAAAAAGAATGGAACCAGTAATAGATGAACTGCTAACTGAGGAACAATTTGGCTTTAGAAGAGGAAAAGGCACTAGGGAAGCTATTTTAGCACTAAGACAAGTTATTGAAAAGCAGAATAGAAAAAGAAAAACAACTTTTATAGCTTTCGTCGATTTGAAAAAGGCTTTTGATAATGTGGATTGGAAAACGATATTTTAAATCTTGAAAAAAGTCGGGGTGACATATAAGGATGGAAGAATAATTAAAAGCTTATACAAACAAGAAATAGGAGTGATACGATGTGAAAACAGCCGGGAAGAAGCAGAAATTAGGAAGGGATGTACGCTGTCTCCGTCCCTTTTTAACCTGTACGTTCAAGAAGCGGTGAATAAAGTAAGAGAAGAAATTGAAGTAGGGATAAGGATAAATGGTGAAAGAATAGATATGCTAAGATTTGCAGATGACATAGCGGTAATAACAGATAATGAAGAGGATCTACAGAATATCTTAGAAATAATGAACTTAGCAATGAAAAATGAATACAATATGAAAAATAAACAAAGCAAAAACGAAAGTCTTTGTTTGTAGCCGTAACGAAGAAACCAAAACTCAAATTGCACTAGATGGTGACACACTAGAGCAGCGATCCTCACTACGCGGCCCGCGGGCCGCATGCGGCCCTCAGAACGTTTTTTTGCGGCTCTCAGACTGACTGTTAAGGATAGTTATACCTACATAAATTTTAGAGTTATTGAAACAAATAATTTTTTGAAAAAATATTCAATATTTTATAAATAGGTACCAGTATATATTTTATATTTATACAACAAGTTTATGTACAGGTGGCAATTATCAAATGATTGTCTATTATTTTCGGTAATTTCCAAAACGCCTCGAACAACAATTGAAATATGTGACCTCGACGATTGCTCGGTTGTCAGTTTTATTTTTATTGTTTGTTATCAGTGGGGAGTTTTATCTAGCTCAGTGCAAACATGTATAAGTTGAGACAGTATTAATGTGATTTTAGTGCGGCTAACTTTATCAATTGAACAAATTATTTTACGAACATAACACTTAGTTCAGTGATTGAATTTTGTAATTAAATATGGCAGGAGTGTACTCAAAAGAGCGGAAACGAAAACTTGAGGATGAAAACCGTGCATTTCAAGTTGAGTGGGAGGGAGATTTCTTTTTTACAAAAGGTAGAAAGAAGGAGCTGCCCTATGTTTGACATGTCGTGAAACGGTACATGGAAACAAACGTTATAGTTTGAACAGACACTACACTTCAATTCATTCGCAGTTTGAAGAAAAATTCCCGAAAACATCTAAGATCCGAAAGGAAAATTGCAATCATTGAAAAAGTCCTTTGCTTGTGAACGTAGTACCCTTTTTAATGCAATGAACAAAAATGAGCTTACTACAAAAGCATCCTACCAAGTAACAGAAATTTTAGCACAAAAGATGAAGCCGTTTTCTGATGCAGAAATTGTAAAAGAGTGTGTTGTCACCGTTTGTAAAACTTTGTTTTCACACTTACCTAATAGTAAGCAAATATTAGATGAAGTTTCTAAACTTCAGTTGTCTGACTCAACTTGCATGAGACGGTCACAAGACTTAGCAGCAAATATTGCACTTAACATTACCGATGAACTTTAGCAAAGCAAATGTTTTAGTCTTGCACTCGACTCATCCACTGACATAACGTCAATTTCTCAATTACTATTGTTCGTTAAATATGTATCCAAGGATTGTGTTGTTAAAGAAAATTTTTTGGGCATGATTCCCATGACTGGACAAACTCAAGGTGTTGATTATTTGAACACAATAGTATGTTTTTTTAACGAGCGTAGCATTGATTTGAAAAAGGTTTTTTCTGTGTGTACTGATGGTTGCCCATCAATGTTAGGCCGGAATATAGGGTTCGTTCAGTTGTTGAAAAAATATTTGGAAAACGATAATTTATTAAGCTTTCATTGTATTATTCATCAAGAAAGCTTAGCTGTTAAATTAGGTGAAAATTTTAGCTGTGTTATGAAACAAGTTGTAAAGATCGTGAATTTTATAAGGTCAAATGAACTGAACCACAGAACGTTCCAAGAGTTTTTGAAAGAACTTATATCACAATACGGGGACGTGCTTTACCATACAGAAGTGAGATGGCTGAGTAAGGGTAAAGTTTTGGAACGTTTCTTCAGTATTCGTCATGAGATTACTCTGTTTTTAGCTACAAAGGAAAAAGAGTATCCTGATGTTTATGATTTTAGTTGGTAGCTCAAAGTAGCGTTTCTCACTGATACAATGGACACTATGAATGAAACACTGATTCGATTGCAAGGACACTACAATAACATTGTAACGAAAATGATTAGTATTGTGCTTTCACAGGAACAAAAACTCAATATGTGTATCGAAGAATTGTCAAACAGTGATTATTCTAGCTTTCCTTTTGTTAAAACTTTGTTTGATGAAAATCCAGATGAAAGTCAAGATGTTTCTGATTTAATAAAGCTGTTGACAGATCTAAAGAACGAAATGTCTTTGAGGTTTAGTGACTTCAGGAAGTATCAAGAACCATTTCGCTTGGTGGAAAACCCATGTCAATTACAACAGCAAATATAGCTCATCTTTCTGTTTTTGGATACGAAGCTAGGGATTTGAAGTTGAAGATTTGAATTTGAGTTAATTGATCTTCAGCATGATACGGAGCTCAAAAGTGTTTTTGAAAAAAAAAAGAAGAATAAAGCTCACTACGAGTTCTGGAAAGCAGTTGAAAAGGACAAATTTCCTAACTTAATTGACTGTGCTCAGAAGATTTTGTGTGTTTTTGCATCTACGCATGTCTGTGAATCTACATTGAATAAGCTGAAGTTCATAAAAAACAAATACAGATCCAGGTTAACAAGTGAGAACGTTGACAACATTTTGAGAATTTCAGTTTCTTCTCAACCTGCCAACATAGATGCCATATTAGAGAGTTGTGAAAGATTTCGCCATTCGACTTCAACGAATTAATATATTCAAGTAGGCCAAGTCATGAAATTAGGTAAAAGACATTTCCCTACTTTTTTATATGCAAAATGTTTATTTTTTTGATGTAATAAACTTATATTATAATCATATTGGTTGTAAGTTAATTAACGCTACTTCGTGGTGTATTTTAACAATAAGAAAAATATATTTTGTAATTACCGTTTAAGTTTAGGCCCTGAAAAAACTGTACAATTTGTACTTGCGGCCTTAAGGAAAATTTGATATGAACTATTTTGCTCTCTCAGAAATCCTAGTGAGGACCCCTGCACTAGAGCAAGTGAATGAGTACAAATACTTGGGAAGTACAATAACTGAGGACGGCCGTAGTACCAGGGAGATCATAAGCAGAATAAACCAGGCTAAATGTGCATTTCAAAGCAAGAAAAATATGTTTATATCTAGAAATATTGACATAAAAGTGAGGAAAAACTTACTTAAGGCTTATGTTTGGAGCGTAGCACTGTATGGAAGTGAGACATGGACCATAGGTNAACAGTCTACTTAGCAGGATAATAGAAGGCGCCATTGAAGGGAATAACAGCAGAGGGCGACCGCCACTGGATTACATTAGTCAAGTAATAAGAGATATGGACTGCAGATCTTATTACGAATTAAAAAGGAAAGCGGAGAAGCGTCAGGAGTGGAGAATTGCTGCCAACCAGCCCTTGAGCTGTTGAAAAAAAAAAAAAAAAACGTCCTATGAAAACCGATTTAAAAAAATATATATATACATGCCTTCCAGTATCGTATCCATGATATTCCACAAAAAAAATTCGATTAATGTTCAATGTTCATTCAACAGACAATGCGAACAAAAAAATGGACACTTAAAGTTGCCTTACATCGACCTATCTATTATTGACGCGTAGATAGAGTATAGAGAAGATTCGATAAATATGGGGGTTAAAAAAAATGGTATAAAAAGACTTGATGGAGTTTAAAATGGATACAGGCCATAATTGGTTAGCAGCTTATATAAAAAACAATCATCCCCTTACGTTCGATGATTCTTCTAGTGAAGATAACTCTGAACCAAAACATAAAAGTCAAAATTATAAAACTCCTTTTCCACCTGTACATAAAGCGAAGGACAAATATGAACACTGGCCAATTGTTGATGATTTGAAGACGGCGAAAAATTGCAGAAATCAAAAATATAAAAGTCGTACTCGGGTAAGATGTAGTAAATATAATATTTATTTGTGTTTAACTGCAAAGAATACGTGTTTTAAATATTTTCATACATAAAATAATACTATATTGTTATTTACTTAATTCATTTTGTCTATATTTATATTATTCCAAGTGTCCTAAAATAAGTAAATTACGATGTAAAATATTTTTCATTTATTAAATTGTTAATATGTTGATGTGGAACATAAAATAAGGATTTATTTTTTTTAATTTTTTAGTCAATAAATTTTTTGTTTGTTGATGTATGCCAAAAAGTATTAGGAGAATAAGAAAAACCAGGATTTAAAGAAGGTAAAAATTTACCTACACAAATGTGTATATTGGTAGACAATGGGTATAAAATTAAAATACCATTCAGTATGTAGTAACAAAGTTATTTACCTACACAAAAATGTAGGTTAGGGCTGAAAGGGATACGCTAATGAAAGCAGTGAACGATGAAACTGGTGGATTTTTCTTCTTAAATGCTCCCGGTGGGACAGGAAAAACGTTTTTAATATTATTGATTCTGACAACGATTCGATCATAAAATGGTGCAAAATAATACTGTATTTGCACTTGTTTCGTTAGGTATTGCAGCTATGTTGGAAGGCGATCGAACAGCTCATTCTGCACTCAAGTTGCCGTTAAACATGCAAATAAAAGAAACATAAATTTGCAACCTTTCGAGAAATTCTGGGATGGTCAAAGTGTTGCAGCAGAGTAATTTAATAGTTTGGGATAAGTGCACGATGACACACAAAAAATCTTTGGAAGCATTAGACTGCACATTGAAAGATTTACGAAAGAACCAAAACCGGTTTGGTGGTGCAATGATTTTATTGGCAGATGATTTCCGCCAAATACTTTCAGTAATACCACGATTAACGTAAACCGACGAACTTAACGTATGTTTAAAGTCAACCATTTTATGGAAGACGTTAAACTCTCAAATTAAACATGAACATGTGACTCGAATTGCAGAACAACCAATCTGGAGAAGTTTTTTCCAAACAATTACTCGATATTGGTAATGGCAAAATACCTGTTGATTCATTGTCTGGAAACATCATATTTCCTACCAATTTTTGTTACTTTACTGAAACTAAGACCGAACTCATCGAGAAGGTTTTCCCAAACGTTGCTCAAAATTACAAAGATGTATGGTTGAGCGAAAGAGTTATATTGGCTGCAAAAAACGTCGATGTCAACGAAATCAATTTTCAGATTCCAAATAAAATTGCTGACGAATTAATGACTTATTAATGACGATTGATTCCGTTACTAACCAAGATGTTGTTGTCAACTATCCCAAGGAGTTTTTAAATTCGCTGGAATTGCATGGATTACTACCTCATAATCTGCAATTAAAAATCAGATCGGTAATCATTATGTTGCGGAATATAAATTAGCCACGTCATTAATGAATAGCGTTATCGAAGCCACATTTTTGAAGGGCATTTTGATTCCTTTGATTCCGAACGTCATATCATTCGACTTTAAACAGTTGCAATTTCCAGTGCGGCTAGCATTTGCAATGTCGATAAATAAATCTCAAGGGCAGTCGCTAAGTATTTATGGCATCAATTGTAAAATCCTTGTTTTTTATATGTCCAGTTATATGTCTTTTTCCCGTGTTGGAACACCAACAAAACTATTTATATACGCGCAAGAAAAAAACACTGAGAATGTTGTATATCATAAAGCATTAGAATAATAAACACTTTTTTTTGAAATATTTTTTTAATAATTAAACCACTTTGAATTCAATATTCATAATTAAGACAGGACACCATCTGTCAGGTCAGCTAGTAGTGATTAAAATGCAATTGGAAACATAAAATAAAAAATATAAGGTATCTTTTATACGTATATCTAGATACACCAAATGTATGTATCATGATACTTTCTTTAAATATCTTGCCCAACCATAGCCAGGATGACGTCGTTTCAGCAACTGGAAATAATAAAGAATTTTTCTCAGCTTTGGGAGGGGTTACAAATTCTAAAACAAAAATTAAAAATATTTACAAATTCCTTATTAAATATTGGATTAAATCATTTTTTCTGGTTGAAAACGTCGTCCGTGTTTTTATAAAATAATTAAATCGTGAAATTGCACGTTTTCCTACGTTTTTTCTCAATTAAGTAAGGCCCTCTGCACACTACGCGATTGACACGCGATAAATAAGACTAGACAAATATACCAAAAGATAAATTCAATTAAAGGAGGATACAAAAAACATAATAAGTTCCTTAAAAATGACGATGGTTCTCTAGTAACAGAACAGGACAAGGTGTTGGAAAAATGGAAACAATATTTTGGATAAATACTCAATTGTGAAAACCCAGTTGAGACATTTGCATGGATGCCAACGGAACCCAATGACACTGTATGTCCGCCTCCAAGCAAAGATGAAATAATACAACAACTTAATAGGCTAAAAAATCATAAAACTGCTGGGGAGGACGGAATCCAAGAAGAAGTCCTAGAAAACCTAGATGAATTAAAGATAAATAAAATACATAGTATTATAGAGAGCGTTTGGCCTGAAGAAAGACTTCCTAAGGACTGGGGCACCGCATTAATCTGTCCTATTCATAAAAAAAATGATCCACAGGAATGCAATAATTATAGGGGTATAGCATTACAAGATACAACGTACAAAGTTTTAGCATATTGTATACTGGATAGAGTAAGATAGATAGATAGACCCATAGCAGATAATTTACTAGGTGACTATCAGGGAGGATTTAGGCCCAATAGATCTACAACGGACCAGATTTTTGTCATAAGACAGATTCTCCAAAAAAGCTGGGAATATGGACATGCACATATTGTTTGTGGACTTTATAAAAGCTTATGATTCTATTCATAGGGAAAGCCTAGTAAATATACTCAAAGAATTCAGATTCCCAAGTAAAATTGTAAACCTCATTGGAGCAAGCGTCAACCAGACGAATATAAAAGTTAAAATAGCAAACACAACATCACACCCCGTGAGAGTGACAACAGGTTTCCGACAAGGCGATGCACTATCTTCAGTGTTTTTAAACCTGGTACTTGAAAAAATTGTACAAGAAATGAACGTTTCGGAAGGAATTGAGCTAGGCCAGGTAAAAATAGGGCGCATAGCATACGCAGACGATATTGCTCTCTTGGGAGATAATATTGAGATGATAAAAAGTCTGGGAAAGAAACCTCTAAAGGCCGCGGAGAAAGTAGATTGACTGTTAATGATGATAAGACAGAATATTTGATTGTCAGTCGAAGTAATAGAGTTTATGGACTAGAACAACATATTGAGTTAGAAGGACATACATTTAGGAAAGTATCACAATTCAAATATCTGGGATCGATTATTACTCAAGATAATGAACTTAAGACAGTGGTTTCGTCGAGAATACAATTAGCTAACAAGGGATATTATGGATTATACTCCGTGCCACGAGAGAGTGCGACTAGGCGGCGATCAAAACGTGTTCATTTCAGCGCATTCCCACCACATTTCTGTCAAGGTTGCCTACCGTCGGTATGTGTCGATCGCCGTCGTACCGTTTTCGAACGACGTGGTTGTAATATACAGAGCGGTTACTGGTGTCATCATATTTATTGTTATTACATGATTGTTCTTCAGTGCGGTTCAACGTTTTACGTGTATCTAATACGGTTTTGAAACTGCGATTTTTTTTTTTTCTATTTAAATAGACATTAAGACGTGTTATTTAACTATTTATAATGGCCGATATTTCACCTGTCAAAAGGAATCCTTCTGGAAAAGTAAATATTAATAATAAATAATATTATACTAACATTTTTTTGTTCTATGCTAAATGCCCAATATATTGCTAATTCTTCGTATTTTTTTTTAAGTTCATTGGTACTCGACAAAAAGAAATTATTGTCAATTTCTATAAAAATTTAATGTTGGAGCAAGAGAATATAGAAGCTAGTCAAAAAATAAAATATAAGAACATCGTCAAAACAATTTCAAAGACGAGTCTTGGTCTTGGACAAAAAACAGTGGAACGTACGCTAGCAGAATACAAAAGTAAAGGTACAGTTTCATTGCCAAATAAAAAAAAAAAATAGGAAGACAGTGATAGACAAAACCGACGATTTTGACCAAAACGCCATTAGGCTGAAAGTCCATAGTTTTCGGTTTAATCGAGAAATACCTACTTTGAATAAAATGTTAGTGGTTGTAAATGATGATAAGAATTTGCCAAATTTTTCGAAGACGTCCTTACGCATGATTTTAAAACATCTAAATTTTGAATATTTGAAAAAAAAAAATCGTAATAGTGCACTTATTGAACGAAACAATATCGTGTGTTGGCGTCGTAAATATTTACAATCTATAAAACATTATAGGCTAAGTGGTAGACCAATATACCTTGACGAAACCTGGGTCAATGCAGGTGAAACAAACTCAAAGGCATAAAAGGCACAAAAAAATATTCATTTCCAACCATGTCTTGGACAAAACAAAAAATTATAGATTNAGCAGAATACAAAAGTAAAGGTACAGTTTCATCGCCAAATAAAAAAAAAAAATGGGATGACAGTGATAGATAAAACCGACGATTTTGACCAAAACGCCATTAGGCTGAAAGTCCATAGTTTTTGGTTTAATCGAGAAATACTTACTTTGAATAAAATGTTAGTGGCTGTAAATGACGATGAGAATTTGCCAAATTTTTCGAAGACGTCCTTACGTAGGATTTTAAAACATCTAAATTTTGAATATTTGAAAAAAAATCGTAATAATGCACTTATTGAACGAAACGATATCGTGTTTTGGCGCCGTAAATATTTGCAATCTATAAAACATTATAGGCTAAGTGGTAGACCAATAAACTATCTTGACGAAACCTGGGTCAATGCAGGTGAAACAAACACAAAGGCGTGGGTCGACACAACAATACATTCGCCCAGAGACGCATTCCTTCGAGGACTCACTACTGGACAAAAATAACTTTCACGGAAGGGGAAACTATTAATTGTGTTACACGTCGTGTCATCTGATGGGTTCGTCCCTGGCGGTCTTTTATCTTTTGAGTCAAAGAAAAACACGCTTGACTATCACGATGAAATGAATGGGGACACGTTTTACGACTAGTTCACCAAAATCCTACCATCTCTAAAAGACAACGCCGTAATAGTGATGGATAATGCTTCATACCATTCGGTAAAAAATGATTCATTTCCAACCATGTCTTGGACAAAACAAAAAATTATAGATTGGTTAGNAAAAGAAGGTGAAATAATTCAGCCATCGTTGGTTAAATCTGAGCTTTTGGAACTAGCAATTAAGTATAAATCACTGCACGACAAGTATGTGATAGATGAAGTAGCAAAAGCTTGAGCCGCTGTATACAGACAGCGGTCGCCACATGGTGGGGAAAGTTTGGGTTCTGGACGTCGGAGTTAATCATTTGCGATATGCGTGGCACGGAGTATAGAAAGAATACTAAAATCGAGGACACTCTCTAAAAATCTAAAAATAAGAATGTATATGACATTACTACGACCTATTGTCCTGTATGGTTCTGAGACGTGGGCATTGAGGAGAGCTGAAGAACAGAATCATTCTACTACTCCGGACAACCGAAATAATTTCAATAAATCGCTGTCTAAAAAATAATTATCTATTAATAGATACATTTAATTTTTCAGGACCTCTCCCAGAAAAATGTAGACAATCTGACATTAGCTTAGAAACATTTTTACACAAAACTTATATTAGTTTTTTCTAGGCATGCTTTTCAAAATATGTTGAACTTAAGTATTCATAACAGTTCGTCTTCCATTTTTTTTGTTATTTTTTGAATTAAATATATATTTAAGTGTTTTATTTATTTTACGAATTGAAGTTGTGAATTTATTATTTGATTATCATATTATTTATTTAGTTTCAAGCAGAATTTTAGACATAATAGAAGTTATTAAACAAGTAAATTTGAATATTATAATGTACGAGTGGACAAAGTATTATGAAAATGAGAAAAATAGTAAAATATTGTATATTATTTCACTTGAGTCTAAGAATAAAAAGCTAACAGATAAAATACAATTGCCTACAGTTGTACGCGTTTTTCTGTACTCATATAATTAATGCAATAGGTATTTATTAATTTATGTTTTTATGTAAGTAGAGGAATTGGATTGGGTTAATTATGTTCAACCTGAACATTTAAAATAAGTTAAATTTGTACAGGAATATTGCTTAATGTCTGTGGAAGGTTGTTATACTGAACTTCATATCAATGTTTTTTGTACATCTGCGTGGTATCACATTTTAAGAGAAATTGAGGTAAAAATATTTTATTTTTAATTCATCCTGGTATATATACTTTAAAAGATATTTTTATTTTAGTGTTTTGGTTAATACCTTCGACTTAAGAAAACATCATAACATATTAGGCATTAACTGAAAAAATGGGCCGCACATTTTTGGGAGTTGTAATTAAACAATATAGTCGTGTATTTTTCATCACTGGAGATACAGTTTTCATACTTGCTGGTTGGATTTATGCTGTTTACACTCATATGGACTCAGTAATGTTTGGAGAAAAATGTTTTCAGTGACGAGGCCCACTTTCACCTCAGTGGATTTGTTAATAAACAAAGCTACAGGATTTAGGGGAATGGAAATCCACGAGTAACCTACGAATATCAAATGCACCCTCAAACTGTGTAGTATTGTTTTAGCAATAGAATATTAGCATTAGGATGAAGATTTACAATATTCTCAACTAATTCAAAAATTTGAGCATAAGTATCATAAAGAAAATTAGAAGGGATATAGACATAGCCTATTAAGCTCAGTATCATTTAAAATTAATAAGACTACAAAAAAAAAGTCAATATTAGATATTTGATCTGTAATAAGCTCACATTTATAGATGTGATTAATAATGAAACTCCACCGCCAGAATAATTGGACGATCTATCAGATCTAAAAATGTTATAATTCACAATACCTAATTCATTATTTCTCATACAATCTTAAATCTTTTGGCACAATTTTGGGCACTCCTTTAACAAATTAATGGTTAAATCTGGCTCACTTGATAAACGTAGGCTAAGTTCATTATGCAATTTTTTCATAAAATCTCTTTGGAATTGAATACGGTCCAAACTGATATCGATCTGAGATGAAAAATTGATGAAATAACTTATGTTTACAATTGATAATATTAAATGCATTAACAGGTGAGGAAAAAATTATTTTTTGCGGTTTGAGTTTAATATCATTACGATAACATCCAAGACGTATGACCTTGACTGGCACTGGTCTAACATTAAATTTGTTAACAAACTAACGAATAATATAATTTACCTATTCTAAATTATGAGCAATTCGGACTTCGACTTGATTAGAATCACTTTCAGTAATATTATAAAAGATAAAATTGTAAGCTTGCAAGTTACAATCATTAATCTCATTAATTATAAATTCATTATTAAGCGGTCGGAGTGAATCAATTTATTGAAAATTAGCTTTTAATTCTTCGACTTTAGAAAGAAGTTTCTTTATGAAAACCTTTTAATTGAGCAGCTCATGGAAACTTTGATCGTACGAAATACAAAAGTATTTTTAATTTTTAATCTTGAGTGTAAGACATTTTAATTCTAACAAAATGTATAGGCATATTTAAACTACCAAAGTTGGAATTGCACATAGAACAAGATAAGATAGGAACCATATAGAAAAATATTTAATAACAATAAAACGAATAAAATTTTTAAAGAGAAATAAGAGCAATTAAAACACACGTCTATATACTATAGCAGTCAACAAATAACTGACCTAAATATATTAAGATATTTAGCTCAGAAAGGAGACATTGTCCTGGACTTGTTCTTTTTCGGCATTAAACACTAACTTTAGTTGTTGGTATTTACATAACGGTTTAATAAACTAGTCACATTTTCAGATAACATGCTTATCTATTCAGGTTGAATATTTATAAATTCAGTAATAACTCAATTTCGTCAGAAATTGGGCATGTCCCTTTTCTGCACTTAGTGATTCATCTATTATTAGCGACGGCTCGTGTTATAGTGTATAGGAGCAGTACACCACCCACAAATTTGAAAACCATACATTGTTAAATTACTACAAAATAAAAATATATAAAATATATATTATAAACTAGCATTCATATTTATTTAAGAGACAAAAATAAAAATTATTTTATAGAATTTAAGAAATATTTAATACAAAAGGTCGAAAAAAAACGAGTGTTATCGCACGTTTTGGTATAGGGTTTTTCAATTTGAGCTGACCGATGTTAGCTGTACTGTACGACCATATCGTTTTGGTGACGTCTTTAGTATTCAGTCTTCAGTCATTAATGCCAAATCATCATGACGAGTTACATTATTGAGCAGCACGTCTAAATCACGATTTAATATACAGGGTCATTCAAAATGATTCATCCAATTTAAGATCTTATCAAATAACGTAGAAATTAATAGAGGGTAATATCAAGTTTTAGAATATCAATAATTCATTATTTTTAAATTATCGCTTAAGGCGATATGTTAGTTTACACATATATGTCGACAGGACAGCATAAAGCGTTTTGTGTGTTGCGATTTTCGAAGTGTGAATCGATAATAACTGTGCAACGTGATTTTCGTCGTCATTATGATATCGATGCACCGATTGCTCGAGCATACGTCAATGGTAAAAACAGTTTGAAGAAACTGGGTGTTTATGCAAAGGAAAAAGCATAGGTCGACCTCGTGTATCCGATTATAATATAGAAAGATTTAGAGAGAGTTTTCAATGCAGTCCGTGCAAGTCAACCAACCGCGCAAGTCGAGAACTAGAAATTCCACAAACAACTGTTTGGCGTGTTTTAAGACGGCATTTAACTATGAAACCATACAGGTTGCAACTGTTGCAGGCTTTAAAACCCAATGATAAGTTGAAACGAATTGAAAAATTTAGAAAAACTATCATATAATATGAAAAAATAGTAATAATAACAATGCAAATAACTCATGCATCAACATGATTACTTTAATTTGGGAGCGGAGTGAAAGATTTATTGTTTTACTATAATGCGTCCCTTTTTTTTTATTTTTATGTTTGTAAACACGGTTTTTACTAGAAAACGTGCTCTAATCAAAAAAAAACAAGAGACTTTTTTGTTGGAAATTTTGTTCCATTGGTGTATTATTACTTTTTGATTTCCTCAACCGTTTTGTGGGAATGTGGGAAAGGCGCGAAAAAACGTGTAACAAATTTTTATGGCACCACGCTGTCACCAATTTCGTAATTTTAATTTATATCTACGATGGTTATTATCAGAAATCTTGTTTAATCAAAAAATGACAAATGACCTTTTTTGTAGAAAGCAGTATGTATCTTCTTACGAAAACTGAATTTTGATTTTCCAAGCGGTTTACTAATAATTAAAAAAAAAAAAAAAATACGAAAAATTTTACAAAAATATTTTTTGTTCTAAAACGGTTAAAAATAATCGAAATGAATTGAAATTTTACAGAATACTAATATTAACCTTTTATAGACATGCTAAAGTTTTCAACATATTGTAAAGACTTTTTCGATATATGTACGTATTTGACTTTTTAAAATTATTTTTATGTATTTATCTTAGGTAAGTTTTATAAGAATAAAATAATTCGAATAACAGAAATGTTTAAAAATTTAATACGAGGTTAATAATAATTGTAGGTATAAATTTAAAAAAAATAAAATAAAAATAAAATTGTATACATTAGTTTGTTTTGTATAAATATTTTAAGATAAAATTTTGACGTAAAATTCACAGGTTATTGTATAACTGAACTTCGTTATTTTTTAGTAATGGTTTATCATTGTAGACAGACATCTGTATATCAGGTATGCAACTATCATTATCTTTCAGATAAGCATACAATACAAACAAATATGAATGATATCAAATTTTATTAATAAATATTTAAAATGTATGTCTGTTAAAGTAGTCACCGGGTCTGTAAGAGTTAAAATGTTAAAAACTAAAAATGCGAAGATAGGCCACGACTAGTGATTTAAGCTCTCGTAAATTTACTATGTAAAATGTTACCTGTAAGGTAAATTTACAAAAAAAATGTATGATTTACATTTTAATTACCGTTTAAAAAGTTGAGTGACTACTTTATTGGTGTGTTTTTGTATATTTTATCAAGATATAATTATTATTATAATACAGGACTTTTATAAATGGTATGGATTATTGTGATAATTGATGATAATTGTGAATATTCTAAATTTTAATAAAACTATAATTATTAATTGTAATTTTCAATAAAGGGATAAAATACTTTATACTTTATTTATATTTATCTTGCCTTCTTTACATAATATTATGAAAAAATTCAATAGGTACACGTTAAATTGAATTTTAATAAAAATTTACCATTTTTACCGTATATTTTGTAAATTTTCAAGTAAAATTACTCGGTAAATTACCAACAATTATTTTTACGTAAAATCCACATCACTAGTCATAATAATATCGATAAAAGTGGTTATGGAAATCACAATACTATTTTTAGGTAGGTATTATAATTTATCTTCTTTTTTCTGCTGTACCACTACTCATGGAATGAATCGCCATAAGATGACGCCCAATGGATCCAGTTATACCTCCATTACAAACAAACTCGTTATCTTCATTACCGCCGCAAATAAAGTACAATAATATATTATATTTATGGATACTGTGAAAACTTTTTATATTAATATTAATTATGATATAATAAATAAACCTAACCATCGCACAAGAAGCAGATAACTGTGACGAAATTGACATGTTTTTAAAACTTTAGCTATAACTGTTAAATAATTTCCAAATGCTGGGGAAATAGAGGCAAAAGTCAACATTTTTACTTTAATGACCTAGTTGGAACAAAATTATTCATATCTTGAACAACCTAACCATCAATTGGCTATTCAACCACTCAATAATTTTGAAAATTTATCAGAAAACAGTGATCCTTCTGAATCAGACTATCTCTCGTCATCAATAGTAGCAAAGGCGTACTCACAATCTTCATGTTCACAGTTTAGTACGTTTGATTATGACTACTAAAAGCACAATATTGTTGTTAACAAATCTATATTTATTAACAAACAAAGTATGTTTATTGTTTTACAATTTATATTTATAAATTATGTCAAATAATAATAATATGTTAATTAAACTGTTAGGTATTTCAATATTAAATTTGTTATTAATAATTATTTACAAAAAGTTCAATTTTAATCAATACAATTTATATTTAATATAAAAAGTTGTGTATATATTTTGATAATTAATAGTGCTTGGAAAAATTGTTTAAAAACTTTGAATTTAATTTTAAACATTTGGTTACCAGGAAACGGCTCCTTCGTTGTTGAAAAATTCTTTGTATAAATCTCTAGCTTCAAAACCTTTAATACTTGAACAACTTCCTCGAATCGACATCGGTATCATATTATTAATTGGTGTTTCTTCTGCAGTATCAAATTTAAAGAATGGCCGTTTATTTGTCTCTAAATATTCCTCACGTAGCATATATTGTAGACCACAGCAAATACCCATACTAAATCATCAATAGTCGTAGTCTCTAAATTAATTGGTTGATAAAATATTCTAAAAGTTTGACCCAATAACCCTAATGCATTTTTTGAAAATCTTCGTGCACAACTCAATTTGTAATTAACTTCTTAATTAACTTCTGTAATTAAGCTTCTACATGATTTTCACTCGCTGTTTTTCTGGTGCATGGCTTCATGATATGTTTGTATAGACAAAAAGCTTCATTACCTACTATTAAATGAAGTACTACTTTATCTGATCCAGGAAGTTTACTAGGCTCTGAAAATCCGAATGAGCTATTTAAAATTTGTTGGTCCATGTTTAATTTCAAAAATATACCACTATCTTCTTTTCCAAAGGATCCAATATCAACAGCAACAAATTTATAGTTTCCATTCACTATCGCCAGAAGAACTATGGAAAACAAGTCTTTATAATTATGGAATAATGACCCCGAGTTCCCCGGATTTCGAATACGAATACGTTTTCCGTCAATGGCTGAAATACATTTGGGAAAATTCCATTTATAATTAAATTCTGCTGCTTTTTCTCCAAAATCAATGGAATTTCAGTCTTTAAAAACATTGGCACCAATTTAGTTTTTAACGCAGCTAATATATATTTTATGATAGTGCTTAAATAACAATGACTTATTCAAAATGAAAATGGCAACGACCTAATGGATTCACCAGTTGCAAGATATCTGTTAAAAAATTTAATTTAATTAATATTATTATTAATTCAATTAAATAAATTACCTTAAAATAACTGCTAATTTTTCTGTAGAAGTTATTGGTATTTTTACACGGTTATAAGATTGTAAAATCAATTCATTTTCTACTAAAGATAGTAAAAAATAGAACTGTTGGTGATTTTTTGAACGGAAAAATGCATGAAACTTAATATCGTCATTTTTTAAATGTCTAATTATCAATATTTCGTAACATCCTTCACTGTCCCGATATTTAAACATTTCATTTGTTGATTTTATTTTTTTAGACACAAAATTAGCAAAATATATATCATCTTCGTCATCCTCTGCTAATAATTTTGTGAGCAGAATGTAATTATTATTAACAATATTGCTGTTCTTGGTAAAAAATATAAATGTTTTTAATACGATTAAATACAAAATAAAAATATGTCCGTACATGTACAGGTTTGAAACTGAACTGATTAAAAAGCACTAATGCTACGACCACCACCGCGACTGCGACATGTCACGTCTAGCAAACCATACTTTTAGAAGGGCACATTAGTAATTCGGAACATTTTTGCGGACCATTAAAACTTAATTTATAAATTAAGGTTAGGCAAAATAAGTGCAAACATAGTATACACTTACATATCTATAGGTTATGTTTGTTATTGTTTTATAATATCATTATAATTTATATTGATGAATAAAACTGTAACATACTGTCGGTTTGCCGTCGTTATCGTAAAAAATAACAAAAGTTTTTTCAAGTTTACAACATAATAATATTTATACATGCGATTTACAGTATGTAGGAGGAGCATTGTTTCTGCGGGAGTTCACGAGTACATTATTTATAATAGTACAAAAGTTAACCAAATAAAAGTCATTTAATAGATATATAAATATATTATACATAATTATAGTGTATCAGTAATCGTGAACAGTTTCATTAAACAATTTGGATTACAAATAAAAGGCGTATTCTACGAAGAACGGGTTAGTGTAATGCGGGCTTTCTGCGTAGGTATATAGAAAAGGACGGGCTTGTCGATAATTGGTGGTGAGTTTAGCAATAACAGATTGTGACAGTATACAGATAATAGCGGAATTGCTTACCAAGACTGGAAGCAAGCTTACACGATTCATGAGATGTTGCTAGGTCGAATGACTTGTAGCGAATCAGTAATCACGAACGGGCGGTCGGTATTTATGCGGATCATCCATCGGTCAGCGTGTGTTAGGCGTCAGCCGTCCGTTCAGTGGGGAAACGCTAGGCAGCGCGCTCGGTGGCGGCGGCCAACGGCTGCGTTCATGACGTATCGATGCCTATTATGGCGCACAGTGTGTAATGTTGCTAATGCGATCTACTGTACAAAAATATAAGTTGCTTATGACATTAAAACTGGAACGTGTAACTATCGATTTTCTGGGGTGTTACAATATCCCATACTTACATTTTTTTTTTTCTATAACAAAAAATATACATATAAGATGATAATAAACTATACTCATCGTATTGGTTTATCGCAGTGAGAGCTCTATCTGGTTGCGACGAACCATTTTTTCTTAATTTGTCCCCGAGAAAAATTGATGAGTGTCTTATCCTCCCCGTTGGCAGGCGAAGGACTGAGGACCTAAACTCCTTCAGTCTTCTTCATCTCTAACAGTTTCCTTAACTGGTCTACTACTTTCTTTCCTCTAAATTCAAGAGTGTACTTGTCCATATATTTTTTCTTTGTTAAAGATCAGCATTGGTTCATTAAATTTACTCGTAACTTTAAAATGTCACCTTAGTTACTAGTGGCGGACTTCTAACCACCATTACTTTCGCTACCTTTTTGGTGATTTGTTTGGCCCTAGGTTCCAGAGTGGCTACCAGTGTTACGCTCTCTTTTCGTCTCTTTTCTTTGGTGGTATGGTTACTATCATAGTTTTATCATGTTTGTTTAGTGGTATATTTACTGGCTTCACCGTATCAAATAAGTGTAATACCCCGGGAATTATATCAGAGGCACGCGTTCCCTTCGCGTATACTTCTCGTTGTCGCTGGGCTTTCTTTTTTGCTTCCATCCTCTGGCAACTTAAAGGGGTTTTACTAAACCTAGCAATTGTTTGAAATTTAACGATTGTAAAAAACCCCTTTATTCATCAGCGTCAAATTATTGGCTCTTTCCAAATTTATAGTAGTAAGCAAAATATTAACATTTCGGGGTTATACTAGTAGGAATTCAAACGCCTCACGTTAAAATTTGATTTTAATTTTTAATTATTTGTTAATAACTTGTTATTGTTTTTGTTTGATTTAGTTTGAGGAACTCATGGAAAAATCCGACATTCAAATATTCTCGAAAGCACATCCATATATACATACAAAGTAATAAATCTTGACCTAGATTCTAGAGTAAAACTTTTAAGTTTCGGTGCGTGCCTCGATATAGCGTGCTGAAACAAACGCGCCACTCCGTGGACTCGGTGTGGCGCGAGGTGTCTGTTTCTGATGACTGTCGATATTTTTGTCAAATTTAAGTAACACTACTATTCTCCCAATACGAAAACTTGAACCTGAAATATCATATCAATGAGATGGTGAAAATCCAGTTATCAAACAACTCGAAGTAGGAAAAATAACCTGGAAGAAAATAAATTTAAATTTTCTTTCCAAGATACTGTAATTTGGTTTTATTATTATTTTTATGAAACGGTTACGCATTCAAATCTGAAATCTGTAAATCTGAACCGTACAAATTTGGAAACTAGAGTTTTTAAATCGGTACAAATCTGAAACGTACAAATTTAGTTGGTACAAAACTGGACTGTATTAATCTGGTCAGTAGGTATTAATTTTTCTAAACTAAACGCTTTTATATTAACATTTTATTCGCCAACGTCAAATTATAGACTCTTATCTTATTTATAGTAGTGAGGAACCAATTTTTTTTCCATATTGTTGGTATAACTACATTTTGATTTAAATTTTAGCTTTTCGATATTGGTATTACTGCAGGCCACTGTAGCTACTTTATCATTTTTCTGACAACTGGGTTTTGCCCGAATTTGTTGATGGTGAGAGGGTAGGAACGGGCAGTTCATCTATTATTATTAAGGATTAAATACAAATATTTTAATATTTTTAACTTTTTCCTTGAATCGTTTAATAGTACAGTTGTAGTGTAGTCTTGAAGTCTCTGAGTGTGCAAATGTTTTTACTTGTTTACCAAAATGTTTCCCTGTGTTTTTCTACCTGTGTTAAAAATATCATAAAGTCTGTTGGATATATTATAGTTTACTTGCTTTTAAAATTATAATTACAGCTCAAATTACTTATTATTGTTATTATTTATTAATAAAAAAATATCATTTTTTCTGTTATTATTTCATAACGTGCAATTTCTTGATTTTGTCTTAGTAGTTATATAATTTCTGTTTATAAAAGCTATCAAAATTGATTATTATTCCAACATCGTTATTGCTTAAAACATTTCACTAATAAATTTGTCTTTAGATTTATTATTTAGATTCTTTAAAAAAAATAAATGGTTATATAATCATCATGTGAGTTTAAGTAGGATTCAAATATTTGTAATATTTATTTTGTAAATTAATATATCTGATACCTATATTTTATTATTTTCATGTTATTTACTAGCTTTATATGCAGGCTTGTACTAGCTGATCTTATGGGGTGGTTACGAAAACATTTAAGGGTGCCTTAATTTTTCTTATTTAATCCTTCAGATTATGGTCCAATACATTACAGATTAAAGAATCATAATTTTGCTAGTTAAATTTTTATTAGAAACGTATAAATAAATAAATACAGTATTGATATAATATATGAACCTTTTTGTAATAAATACATTCAAAAATATGCTTTTACATTATAATAGAATTATTACCTTAGAAAAATGTTATTATATTTTAGAGAGAAAGTAATTGATTCATTTTTGAGTTTGAAGAACACATCTTATCAATAATGTGATTTCCTCCGACTTGGTTTAAAATATATCGTTTACATTGCATTAAAAATAAACATTCTAAATTTTCTTGTGAAGTTGTGACCCTTAATATCGTATTTAAGAGTCTTAGCTTCGAGAATAAATGGTCACGTGTTACTTGTGTGATTGGCAAAGTAATTAGTTATTTATAAACAATATACAATTCTTTGTACTGTATATAATACACATTAAACTCTGTTAATATATGTAAAGTACATTTAAAACATCCATTACATGCCCATTTTTGGTCAATTTTGTAGAGTTATCGAGATAGATGTCTATCCATTCGTCTTAAATATTATCTTCAACTAAACTATCATATGTACTAAGAAAATCTGTTTTACAAATTAATGGTCATGATGTAGCGAATGATACGAGTTCTTCTTTAAGATTACCTTTATTTATAGTGGGCAATAGTTAGCAAATTTTTTTTAGAGCGAATTTTTAGTTTCATAAAGTTAAAAATATGATGTTAATATGCTCAAAAACGACATTAAAATGTTTCTTCACCCGTCATCGATTTCGCTAAAATTTGTAACTTGATTGGTATCGTGTTGGCGTTATGCTAACATTATCGTTTTGTTGCTTCTGGGAACTATTTAATGAACTTGGAAGAGTGAAACAAAGATAAAAATGATTGTCTAGTTATATCCTACTATAATTAACATTATGTTAACAAAATGTTAGATTATTTAAAAGCCAATTTCACTCAAATTTGCAATATAAAAAATTAAAAACAAATCATTTTTGGTAGAAAAAAAAAGATAAAATATAAAAATTTAACAAATCACTGTTTCAAAACAAAATCTGTTAAAATAATAACAGTTTTTAAAATTATAACACATTGTTCGAATTTTCCGACTTTTATTTTACGGTGTTGCATGTCGAACAAGTAGGAGCAGTATGCACTTTACATATATACAATGTATATATGTATATGTATATTATACATATACCACATAACAAATAAGTTATAGGTTAAGAACCAATGATTTGATTAAAGCAGCGAAGCCAATGTGTTTAGAAGTAAATCAAGACAAAACCCAATATTTAAGCATGATTAGGGGAACAAGAGACCTAGTAGTAGAAAACTACACCTTCCAACAAGTGAACAATTTCAAATATCTTGGGGCGAACTTAAGTCAATACAATAATACGCATAATGAAATTAAATTGAGCCACTAACAAGAGCTACTACGCCTTGAAAAAAATTGTCAAAAAATCAAAGCTCCTCTCTAGAGTCTAGACGATCAAAGAAACGCTTGTACTCAAGTTTTCTACGATCAGTCCTAACATATGCGTGTGAAACATGGTAGACTACAAAAAGGATGAGGAAAATATGGCTTGCTTTAAAAGAAGAGTTCTTAGAAGGATTTATGGACCTATACTAGAAAATGAAGTTTACAGGAGAAGAACTAATGTAGAGGTACAACAAATTTATCAAAAACCCGGTTTCAAAACGTACCCCATGAGTAAACGAATTGAGTGGACAGATCATGTATGAAGGTCAATGGAGTTCTAAAGAAAGCACTGTAAGGAAAAGTCAATGTAAAAAGACTTAGGGTCCACCCTAGACAGCACTGGATAGACAGGGTTAGCGAAGATTAAAACAAGAACTATAGAAGACAGCATTTATAGAGGTGGATGATTAAAAATAGTAGAGGTAGCGAAAGTCCTGAAAGGACCGTAAAAGCTCAAGAAGTATAAGAAGATAAGCTTACATTACATTTTACAATATTTACATTTACCATTAATATCACATCTCATGTTATAAATAATAAATATACTCAAACTTTAAAATCAATCATAAACCTAAAGATGTGCATTTACATTCATAATTACTTTGATAACTGATTTAAATTCAGGATTAAAACCATTAATACATATTTAATAAAATAAAATAACGAATGAAAATAAAGAATGATTTTTATTATTCTAAAATAAAATAAAATTTTTCCCTACAATGAAAAAAACACAATTCATGAAATTAACAAAATATCTGGTTTTTTTGTAATGAACAAAAATACAATATATTCTAAAGTAAGAAAAATTGCTGTATATTATCAAATCTTCAAAATATGCTTTAGGTATTATGCAAAATGAATAAATAATAAACTCTGTGGACTCTAATGGATAAATCGTCTACATTTTTCATCATCCCCGTTATGCTGTATAAAGTTTAAAAAAAGATCTGTAAAAAACTAAAAATTCGCTCTCTATTAGCAATAATAATGTTTTTTTTTAAATTTATTACTTTATATACATTTAAATTGGTAGATAAATAAATATTTTATTTGTATGTAAAAATAAGATTATTTTAGTGTCTATAAAAAAAAAAAAAATCCATATTAAAAACATTCTAGGGTGATGATACTGTTTTGAATGAACAAATTTAGTTTTGAATAGAATTTTTCATAGTTTGTTTTTAATATTTTACTTAAATTTGGTGTTTGTTTCATATTTATACTGGTTATTGAAAAAAGTTAACGACTAAAATAATAAAAGGTTTAAAAATTGTTATTGCTTGATTAGAAAAGTTATTCCTACTTAACTAATTATTCACATCTATATAGGTATAACATCTCAAAATTAATATTTTGAATCAATTATTTCTTTAATTGCGTTTATGAGTACAATTACACTTAATTACACTTCTAACATCAGTTATTTCATCTCTCTTAAATAATAAAAATAACAAATAACTCATTCACCTCAAAATCTATTATCGTCATCCTTTTCATTGCTAATGGTCTAAAAAACCACAATAATGAAGTGCAAGCTGTCTTATACGAAAAGCGTATTGATATTGCCTATAATTACGGAGACTCACTTTACCTATATATAATATATAATAATTATATTTATATAATACTCCAATGTTTTTATCTTAGGCTATACTCTGTCCAAATCCAATGATCCAGACAACACAACTCATGGTGGTGTTGCCATCTTAATTAAATCTACTCTGTCTTTTTCTTCACTGCCAAACTTTTCATAAGTCTATCTTAAATCTTGTGCTGTATCTATTAAGTTAAATAATGTACCATTACCATTGATGCAATCTACTGCCCCCCAAGACACAACATCTCTACCTCTCATTTAGTCGACTATTTCTCATCAATTACTTCAAATTTCATTATCGGTGGAGATATTAATGCTAAGCACCAAGCCTGGGGCTGTCGTGCTGGCAACTCGCGTGGTAATATTCTCTATAATTTTGACAATAACAAAATATATTAAATACTGGCCTTTCCAGGTCCAACATATTGGCCAACCTTATTACGTAAAAAACCCGACATTATTGATATTTTCATTGCTAAAGTACCAATTAATTTAAAATGCACTCCGGAAAATATCCTAGATCTAAACTCTGACCACTCACCTGTACTACAATGAATGCATACCCAACATTAAGTATGACATCTCCAAAACTATTTTATCCTTCAATAGATAGTATTAAGTTTCATAACTTAGTAGATCAAAAGATCACCCTGAACGTTAAATTAAAAACACATAAGAATATCGATAATGCAGTTGATAAATTTACCACAATCATTCAAACAGCTACCTGGGCATCCCAATCTAAGCCAACTCCAACTTCCACTAGGAATCTACTATTACCGGTACATCTGCGTTCATTAATTACTGATAAAAGAAGAGCTATGGCACATTATCAAATTTCTCGTTTACCTTCCCATAAATCACTATATAACAGACTGTCCAACTCGCTTAATAATCATTTTCTAAAATATAAATTAGATATTTTCAAACAAAATTTATCTAACTTATCCACTTTTGGCGGTAGCCTCTGGATGGAAACTAATAAGCTCTTACAATATAAATCTAGTTTACCGCCACTAACCAAAATTAATAATTCTACTACTATAACTGATGAAAATAAGGCTGAGAGTATTCGTCAACATCTATCTGAAATATTTAAGCCACATCCCGACATAAACAATCTAAGTCTCACCTTTATGGTAATCCAGTATTTAGATTGCCCATGCCTCTTCACCTCCCTGAAAAGTGTTTTATACCAAGTGAATTAAAAACCACAATACAAAAATATTCTATCAAAAAAACTCCAGGCTTTGAATTGATTTAATTACAGCTGAAGTCGCCAGATGTTTTCCGAAAAAAATTATCCTGTCCCTTACTTATTTATTTAATGCGACCTTACGACTTTCATAGTTTCTACATCTCTTGAAATTTTTAAAAATAGTCTTTATTCCTAAACCTGACAAACCACCTGATCTTCCTCGTACAGGCCAATAAGTCTGTTACCTTTTCTAGGTAAACTACTGGAAAGACTAATACTCAAAAGGCTAGCTTACATTAATACGAACAGAATATTACCAGACTCGAAATTTGGTTTTCGTTCAGCGTATAGTATAATACACCAAATACATAGATTAGTTGATGCTATCTCGTGTTCCTTAGAAAAAAAGTATTATTGTATTTGTGCCTTTCTTGACATTATCCAGGCGTTTGATAGAGTTTGGTATGAAGGATTACTCTTCAAACTAAAAAAAATCCTCTCCCCCTGTTTATTTTTATTAATTAAATTTTACTTAAGTAATCGTCATTTCCAAAACCCGTTTGGATCCACAGTTGAGAAAATCTTAGCTGGAGCTCCCCAGGGTGGAATCCTCTATCCCTTTATTTTTGATATTTATACCTACGACCAACCTATCTCCCAAAATACTTTCGTAGCCGATTACGAGGATGACAAAGCCATCATATCATTTGACAAAGATCCTCTGCCTCAGAAAATCCTTGAACTTATCTCAACCTAATGTCTGAATGGTACACCGACTAGTGCATTAAACCTAACCCCAATATGTCAGTACATACAACATTCACTCTATGCTACTCTATTTGTCCTAATGTCTATTTACATAACATCCTTATTCCCACATCTGACACAGTTAGATACCTAGGACATTACTTGGATAGCGCCTTACTTGTAATAGCCATATTTGTATTAAGAGACTTGCCTTAAACGCCCGTCTTCGTAGGGTTCGAACTTTACTCGAAAATAAAAATCACTCCAGATTAAAAATAAAAGTTTTTATGTATAAAACATTACTTAAACCTCTACGGACATATGGTCTCCAATTATGGGGTACTGCAAAAGTGTCCAATATAAATAAAGTTCAACAATTTCAGAATATTGCCCTTAGGAAAATAACGAACGCTCCAACCTTTATTTCTAATTACACTTTGAATAAAGACCTGTCAATTAAAACTGTGTCAGAAGAAACTACACGCTTCTACAAAAACGTTCATGCCCGTCTCCAAACACACCAAAATCTATTAAAAGACTTTTCCACCCAAACATTACCTGTCAACCCCAGGCGTTGTTTTAAAAGGAACTAATACCGTGACTTGCTAGAAAACTAAACTAGGGGAAAAAAAAAAAAAATATATATATATATAGCGAGATAATTATTCAACTTCCAGACAAGTGCTGGTTGGCTTCTTATCAAGTACTCATGTTATTTATGCCTTTAGCATATATGCTTATTGTGCACCAATTGTACAGATTGTATATATTATTGTGAAAATAAAAAATAAAAAAGTAGGAATTACGCCGTTGTCAAGTTAATGTGTTGAATTCACGTGTTTTTTTACCAAAAAATTATTTTGTAATTTACCGATTAATTTTAAATAATTAAAATGCCTAAAACTCCAAATTCAAAACCGGCGTTAATTAAAAAGTGGATTGAGTCGTACAAAAATTCTGGTGAGGTTTTCAAAATTTTAAATAATACAACTGTTTTCTGTCAGCATTATGAAAAACCTATAACAGTTGAAAAAAAATTTTAAATTGACCAGTATGCAGTCTTTTTTGCATTAAAAATGTTTAAACAAACCTTCTTCTAAACAAACTTTCATTCAATCAACGTCCATAAAAAATTAATCACAATTTTTCAAAGAACTTTGTAATTTTTAATTTCTTCAAACATACCTTTATATAAACTATAAAATACAAACTTTAAATCTTTTTTTGGAAAAGTACACAAATAAATATATACCAGATGAAAGTAAGTTAAGAAAAAACTATTTAAGTAAATGTAATATTGACGTTTTACAAAATATTCGAGAATATATAAGCAGCTCATACATTTTTTTTGCTATTGAGAATCTACTGATCCTCAAGGGAAGTATGTAGCAAATTTCGTTGTTGGCAAACTGAATGGCGATTCGCCTACTAAATCGTATCTTTAAACACTAAAAGTTCTCAAAAAAACCAATAATTCAACTATAGCACAATTTGTAAACAATTCCCTTAAGCTATTGTGGCCTGAAGGTAGCAATGATGGCAAAGTTTTGTTGGTGTTTTTTGATGCTGCTCCTTACATGATGAAAGCTGCACATAATTTAAAACTATTTTATTCGAATCGTATACTAGTAACTTGTGTTACTCATGGTATCCACCGAATCGCCGAAAAAATTGTAGATACTTTTCATGACATTAGCAATTTAATTAATAATGGAAAAAAGATTTTTTAAAAAGCTCCGTATAGAATTCAGTTATATAAAGAAACATTGCCAAACACACCTTTACCACCACAGCCAATAATTACCCGCTAATAATTAGCCTTCTTTAAGCAGATCAATTTGAAGAGTTTAAAAATTTAATTGAAAACTTAATAGATGAATCAGAAAGCATTAAAAATTGTAAATTTTAAATAAATTAAATGTAAAACATGGTTTTGTTTACATTAAAGTAAATTTTTCATGCATCGTTGAAAGCGTCAAAAATCTTGAAAATTCTAATTTGTCACTTGTAGACTCGTTAAACATTTTAAAACAAGTGGGAAATTCTATCAATGAACTTCCTATGATCGCAAATAGTACAATAATTAAAACAAAATTTAAAAATGTTTTCGATAAAAATAAAGGACTAATGGTTTTAATAGAAATTTCGAAAATACTTCAAGGTGACAGTGCTAACTTCAATGATTTGTCTGTTCCAAATTATTCACCGGGAATATTAGCCAATTTTAAATATACACTAATAATCAGTGTTGACGTTAAACACAATTTTTCATTTTTCAAGTACATCCTTACAGACCGTCGTCATAATTTTACCGAAATAAACATGGAACACACTTCGATAACATATTGTTTTTCCAATTAACATACCTACTAAATTAAATTTGTTGTACTTTTTCCTTATTATATACCAATATGTACTATCTACTTATTTTCTCTTTTTGTTTATGGAAATTTTAATAAAATTAATAATTAATTATTACTTCAAAATTTAAATAAAATATAAAATTTAAAATAAATTTAAATTTTATTATGCATGTTTTGCTTTTTTTTCTTGCATATTTTGCCTTTTTTTAGTGCATGTTTGCATGCATATTTCACAATTTAAAATGCATACAAATCCGGTCTTTACTAATAATATACTGTTGTGACAAAGCTAAAAACTAATAATACAGCCTAAACGGGCATTATAATTTACAAATCAGTGTTCACAGATAAGAATATACCCTGAATAGATATAGTCGATAGTGGGTACGTTGGATGTGGTATTTATAAATCACTAACCATTAGTATATACATTAGGATAAAAACCCGTCTAATGTGTAATAATCCACCTATACATATTTTTATACACTAAAAATTAAGCTTATGTATATTTAACGCTTGTCTTCACAACAATATAAACATTTTTTAATGTCGTAGTACTGAAGACAATTGAGTTATTACTTGTTAAAAAATTAGTTCGTTACATACGCACACGGTGCACCCATACGCAGTGCCGCAACTATTAACTCTGAAAACCGTGTGCAAAATTTGTTTAGAGGCCCCAAATTAATATTATAATTTTATTTTTATTTTTGTATTATTACNGAACAAAATCAACTAATTTTATATGTAGCAAACTACACGCTGTTGATCATCCTCCATTTTGCTGAATTGAAGGCTTTAGCCACGTCTAATGTCACAAGAGCGCATAGCTCCCTGCGGCGTAGAAGTCCTGTGCCTTTTCCATCAATCACCTCCATAGCACTGAACTACTGGCATCTACTGTCGACCTTCCCTTGCGGAAGCCAAAATGTCTTCTACTAAGTCCTCTGCTACTCTCGAGGTGAGCTTCCAGCTTCCACTTAATAATGCACTTGAAAACCTTCCCCACTCTACTTAATAAGCAGATCGGTCTGTACGACAAAAGCCGATCCAGCGTCTTATCGCTCTTAGGCAACAAGGCCAGCTTCGCCCTCTTTTAGTGGACGGAAAAGATGCCTTATACTAAAAATTGTGAATACTTATATTGGTATCATCAGTACATAACTTTTGAAAAATTTTGACTTGTGTTGAGCTGTTTATGGACAGTTGAAATTTTCGATGTTTCTTAGTTTATTTTTAAAATGTCTATAAAAAAAAATTGGCTGGTCGAAAATGTTGAAAATCGAATACAAGATTTTACATAAGTTTTTTTTAAAATAATTATAAACAAATTGAGATATAATAATTTGTATGTTCAAATCTCATTAATAAAAAAAAATATTGTTTTTTTGAAAAATATTTATTTAGTATATTATATTAAGTCCAAAAATGTTCTTGAAGAATCTTCTTCATACATTAAGCAGCTTCTTTCATAAATGTCTACTGAGCTCATTGATGTTGAAGTTGATGTTGAGAAGAATTCAGGGAATTGTTACGTTATGACACCAGAATATTGTGGTGATGAAGTAGAACGTTGTTTGTTTATCTGAGAATTCTGCTCAACTTCATATTTGTCTGCAACTTCATCATCAGCTTTATTTTCAAACATTTTCGCCAATTCCCAAATATGAGAAATGCTAAATAATGGCTCTTTACAATTGACCGAATCAAAACCGTTATCTGGGCAAAATACAAGAACACCGTATGTCTTTATCGGAGATAAAGCATTTCCAAACTTCATTCAGTATCTCTTCCAGTGTTTCAAAAGAATCAGCTTGAGCTACCCTTGAGGGAGTCCAGTTTGAAGAAACTTGTATTTACTCTCTTTCCCATTAATGTGTACCTTGAATTTCCGGTCTGTCAGCATGTTATCAATAAGTCGTATGGATATTTTACGCTTTAAGATTTTCGCTAGTTTCAAGAGAAGACCACGTTTTCAGACAGTGTCGTACGTACAGGTTAGGTCTAAGAAAACCACCCCTGATTTTATTTTATTCTGAAAACCATTTTCTATATGTATGACTATTGACAAAACCTGCTCTTCACATAGTGCCGCAACTATTAACTCTGAGGTCCGTGTGCAGAATTTGTTTAGAGACCCCAAATTAATATTATAATTTTATTTTTATTTTTGTATTATTACNCCATGGCGAAATAATAATTGTTGAATATCGTGCGTGCTAGTATATTTTGACTTAAGAGGCCATAACTCCGGAACCACTTATCGCAGAGCATACAAACTTAGATAGTAGCCGATTCTCAGATCTACTAAATATGCATATAAAATTTCATGAGAATCGATCAAGCCGTCTCGGAGGAGTATGGGAACGAACATTGTGACACGATCATTTTATATATAAGATTATATTATTAATATAAAACTTTATACCAAAACCAATTTGAAAAATGTTTTCTATAAATTAAACACAACGTAATTATATTTTTGTAGATTTAATTTTCAGGTATAATAATTAAGAAATTAATACATTTAATTTATTTTATTTCAAAAAGTTTTTTTTTCTGGCTTTTGTGTTGGCAAAGTCTGTTATTATATTGTCAATATTGAATTCCGCGGTTCGTCTACTTTTAATATTCAAAATACTTATATTTTTTAGTCGATCTTGACAAGAAGAATTCCGAAGATAATTTTTTATTAATTTAAGCTTAGAAAAGCTGCGTTCTGCAAACGCGACTGTTATCGGTAAAGTTAAAAATAAAAGACAAGCTGACAATACATCTGGATAACTTATAGACAGATCCGTTTCAATAATAAATACACATAGATCTTTAATAGTATTTAGATTTTGAGATAAAATGTTTGCTTTTAGGCATACAATTTGCCGCGTGAAATCTGAAGTTACATCATCTTTATAAAATTGAATGAAATCATAAGTAGACTTAATTAGGAAAGACTGGCTATAGTTTAAAATTGATTTCGGGCTTAAATATGTGAAACGATCAGAAACATCTTTCATTCTATTAAACCGTTCTTTGATCTTAAATATTATAAAATCCACAACTGATAAAAATACTTTAATCCTAAATATATCTTTAGAAATATCAAATCTGCGATCACCGTCAACCTCTCCAAATATTCTTTTACAAAATTTAGGTCTCAAAGAATGGAAAGAAATATTAATTCCCCATTCATCGTATAATCGTTTTGATTCCAAATATATTGTGCTGTAGTTTAAAGCATTTACAACGTATAAAACTTATCGAAATAGATCTTCGTATCTACGTAAAAGATTACTTTATAGGGTACTTTGTAAAATCTTGGATACAGTATTTAAATATCTTAAAATATTTTCCCAAATAAATAAAATTAATACAAATTAAATTGATTCTCTCTTATTTTTAAGTGCTTTACTCATATCACGTTCATCTTTTTTACCACTTGTAAGTGACATTATTGTTAAACATTTGATTACATCGATAAACCACTCTTTTAATGCAAATACTGCAGTATGCCTTTATTCCCATCCGGTAGAGCACACTTTTTTTAATACTCTTCTCCTAATTTTTGATGCTATGTTATCTCCTAATGCTAATGACGCCCATCCTGGGCCACTTGAGCTAAAGAAATTAAACACATTCTGTAGAGTTTCAAAAAATCTTGATATACTTGGTGAAATTTTAAAGGCATCAGATATCACCAAGTTTAAGTTGTGAGCACAGCAGTGGATAAATTATGCAGTTGGAACAATATCATTTATTCTCTTTTGGACTCCTGAGTATTGACCAC